GAAGAAATCCAAGGTGCATTGAAGACATTGGCAAAGAACAGAGGTTTTCTAATTGATGGAATGAATACAAATTAAAGTCTTTCAACCAACTGATGTCTCACTAAAGGCAATAACTCATGTATGCCAAGAAATTTGGAAGACAGCTACCTGGCTAACTGACTGTGCCCATTCCAAATAGAGGTTGCCCACAAGAATGCAAATATCATTGGACAATATCATTAATATCATATCCAACTAAAAATTTTGCTAAAGATAATTTTTAAGTGGCTGCAATAATACATTGACAGGGAAATACCAGAGGTTCAAGCTGGATTCAGATGAGGACATGGAATGAGGGCTATCATTATTGATTTCAGATGGATCTTGGCTGAAAACAGAGAATACCACTTTGCTTTATTGACTATGCAAAGACTTTTGACTGTATGGATCATGATGAACTATGGACGGTACTGCAGAGAATGCATATTCTTTAACACTGATTGTGCTCATGAGGAACCTGTACATAGAACAAAAGTCACTTGTTCGAACAGAACTAGAGAATACTGAATCATTTCAAATCAGGAAAGGTGTGTGCCAGGGCTGTCTTTTGTACCATACTTAATCTGTATGCTGAGCAAATAATTCAAGAAATTGGATTATATGATGAAGGTGGCATCAGGATTGGGGAAGACTCATTAATAACCTGCAATATGTAGATGATACAACCTTGTTTGCTGAAAGCTAAGAGGATTTAAATTACTTACTGATGAAAATTGAAGTCCATAACCTTCTCTTTGGGTTGCACCTCAGTGTAAAGAAAACAAAAATCTTCTCTACTACTGAAGCAATAAGTAACATCATCATAAATGGAAACAAAAATTGAAGTTGTCAAATACTTCATTTTGCTTTCATCTGCTGTCAACCCTCATGGAAACAGCAGTCAAGAAAACAACGACGTATTGCATTAGGTAAATCTACTGCACAAGACCTATTTAAATTGTTGAAGAGTAAAGATGTCAGTTTGAGGACTAAAGTGCTCCTGACCCAAGCCATGATATTTTCAGCAGTCTCATATGTATGTGAAAATTAGACAGTGAAGAAGGAAGGCTGTTGAAGAATTGACATATTTGAGTTGTGGCATTGGAGAAGAATTTTAAAGGCATCATGGACTATCTGAAAAGCAAACAGATCTGTGTTGGAAGAAGTACAACCAGAATGCTCCTTAGAAGCCAAGATGACCAGACTTCATCTCTCATACTTCAGATATATTATCAGGAGGAACCGGTTCCTGGAGAAGGACATCATGTTTGGTAAAGTGGAGGGTCAGGGAAAAAGAGGGAGAGCCCTAATGATATGGATTAACCCAGTGGCAGTAGCCACGGTCACAAGCATAGCAGCAATTGTGAGGAAGGCGCAGGATTGGGTGATGTTTCATTCTGTTAGGTCACAATGGGTCAGAAATGACTTGATGTCATCTACCAACACATTTTTATGTAGTCTATATTCTTTAGTTTTTAAAATTTATTATGGATGTTTTATGTTTATTTCATATAATCTTCTAGAGTTAAAAATGATTCAGTGTTACTCTTGCATTATTAAAGTTGAAAGTACCATTTTATAATATTTATTTCCCAACTTTTCCTCCAATGTCTAGCTTCTTTGCTCAAGAAGAAAGAAAAATCAATTTAACCAAACCAAAGAGAAAAGAAATAAGAAAAGCACAGATGTTCACCATTATGCATACTTTTTATACTTCATCTGTAGTTTGATGTGATTTTTTATTTTCTATGAAATGAGATGAACTACCTGATTCTTTAGTTTTGGGGCAGTTATGAGTAGTGATTAAGACAAGACTGTGACCATTTAATTTAGAAGTGCATTTCAATTCCAGCTTTTCCATTTATTATTTGTATAACTTTGGGCACATTTCTTGGTTTCTTTCATACCCAATTAATAGTTTTAATTATTATATAAAGAGGTTGAAGAGCATAACAGTGAACCTGGCATTTAATATGTGTTCAATAAATATTGTTCTTGTTCGTTGTGAAGTGCCATTGAGTTGGTTCCAACACATAGTGCACCTGTATGTTGTTGTTAAGTGCCGTTGAGTTTATTCCGGCCCATAGCGACCCTGTACAGGGTTTCCGAGACTGTAAATCTTTACAGGAGCAGAATGCCTCATCTTTCTCCCGCGGAACAGCTGGTAATTTCGAACTGCTGACCCTGTGGTTCGCAGCCCGATTCGTAACCACTACGCTACCAGAGCTCCTTAGTGCACCTGTATAGGAGTCCTGATAGTGCAATGGGTTACAGATTGGTCTGTTAACTGCAAGGTCAGCAGTTTGAATGTACCAGCCACTCCTCAGGAGAAAGATGAGGCTCTTTGCTCCCTTAAAGATTTACAACCATGAAAATGATTTATAGGATCTCCATGTGTTGGAACCAGCTCAACAGTACACTACCACCACCACCACCATAGAGTTTCGAAGGAGCAGCTGATAGAGTTTGAACCACTGACATTGCTGTTAGTTGTTTAGTCCTTATCCTATGGTGCCACACCAGCCATTCCTCAGTTGTTGTTGTTGTTAGGTGCCATTGAGTTGGTACTGACTCATAGCGACCTTATGCACAGCAGAATGAAACACTGCCTGATCCTGGGCCAGCCTTACTGTTGTTGCCACGCTTGAGCCCATTGATGCTGCCACTTTGCCAATCCTTCTTGCTGGGGGTCTTCCTCTTTATCTCTGACTCTCCACCTTACCAAACATGATGTCCTTCTCCAGTGACTGGTCCCTCCTGACAGAAAATATGTCTGAAGTATGAGAAACAAAGTTTGGCCATCTTGGCCTCCAAGGAGCACTCTGGCTGCATTTCTTCCAACACAGATCTGTAGGTTCTTTAGGCAGCCCATCATAGCACTTTCAATATTCTCCTCCAACACCACAACTCAAAAGCATCAATTATTCTATGGTCTTCCTTATTCACTGTCCATCTTTCGCATGCAACGAGGTTATTGAAAATACCATAGCTTGCGTCAGGCACACCTTAGTCCTTAAGCTGACATCTTGGGTCTTCAATACTTTAAAAAGGTCTTGTGAAGCAGATTTACCTAATGCAATATGTTGTTTGATTTCTTGACTGCTGCTTCCATGAGTGTTGATAGTTGATCCAAGAAGAATGAAGTCCATGACAACTTCAATCTTGTCTCCATTGATAAGAATGTTGTTTATTGGTCCAGTGGTGAGGATTTTTGTTTTCTTGACATTGAGATGCAATCCATACCAAAGGCTGTGCTCTTTGATCTTCATCAGTAAATATTTTATGTCTTCACTTTTAGCAAGTATTATCTGCATATCTCAGGCTGATATTTATTAATAAGTATTATGCGGCAATGTGGGTTAATGCGCCAGACTGCAAAGCCATTTGAACTGCAAGGTTGGTGGTTCAAGCTCACCAGCTGTTCATTGGAAACCCTATACAGGGTCGCTATGGGTTGGAATCGACTCGATGGCACTTAACGACAACAATAATAATAATAATAATGTATGTGGCACTGTGGGCTAGTAAGTCAGACTGCAAAGTTGTTTGAACTCCAAGGTCGGTAGTTCAAGCTCACCAGCTGCTCCTTAGAAACTCTATACAGGGTTGCTATGGCTTGTAATCAACTCGATGGCACTTAACAACAAAACAACAATATAATAATAATAATGATAGATCATAAAATCATGCTCCTTTATTGATGAACTGTTTCTCTTAGGAGTGCTTTCAAGCAGTGTGTTTTTAAGATATTTGTAGACTTTTAGAAACATACATTGAACCTCTTAGAAGGCAATCTGGATACCCATATTAAGGAACTTTATTTTTAAATTGCTTTTCTAAGAATATTTGTGGACTTGAATAAAAAATTAGAACCAAACTCTCTCCCTCCTATACCATTTTTCTTTTACTGACCTGAAACAAGGTTTTTTCCTGACTTTTAAAGTCATATTTGTTAAGTGCAAAGTTTAAAATAAAGAGAAAATGAGAACTGAAGTTTAATAACTTGTATTTCTCAGTAATTGAATTTATAGCTGAAACAAAATGAAAATATTCTAATATGCTTCATTTAGAAGGGAAAATTGGGTATTGTCAAGCCAAAATAAAAATAACTTTATTCCATAATTATTATAACATTCTTTTCCTAAATTTTGAATCTCTTTTTTGTTTGTTTGACAATTCTAAAGTACATTTTAGTTTTCAGTGTAAACCTTATCTTTGTTTAAATGACTGATAGATAACATAGTAAAATTTATTATAAAACTAGTATTAAACCTCAATTACAGCTTGAAAATTGACAATACTTTATTAAATAAAAAATTTTAAATTATCCAAATAAAAAGTTTATGATACTTTTTCATAGGGACTGATATGTTGTTAATCTAATTTATGCTGTAAGTGTCTATCTTTGGTCTCGTGTCTCAGAAACTATTCTTGATTACATATTGATAATGGAGCACACATGTTCTTTTATAGAATTGCTTGCACATCTGGTGGCTTTGAACAAAATTGTAGGCTCTGTTAATAATACTACTTTTGTGTTTGATGTGGAAAAGATATAACAGTGTTTTGCTTTTAAAATTTCTTTAAACTTTCAGTCTGTAGCAAACCTCAGTAGTGACATGGTAGATCCAATTCATTCTAAATGGTTAAACGTGGAACAGAATCTTGGTTTCCCTATTGATGAAAATGATGAAGATGAAAATGAAGATATTATAGAGGAAGAAGATGAGGAGTGTAAGTATTACAGTATATTTGAAATTGCTCACCTCTAATACCTACCAATGACGTTAGGGTTCACTTTTCAATTATTTTGGCGGTCAAAGACTTTGTGGCATATAATTAATTACTAAGGCATAAAAACTATCCTTTAAATCCCTTAGTTCTTTGATCTTTATAAAGTACAGTCATACTATATATAAAAATATGGTAATAGAAATCACATATCATTTGGTGAATGTGGTGATGTGACACTCTTCTTGAACTTTAGATTTTGTTTGTGTCTTAATGGAAGTCTTAAATCACTTCTCAATTACTTATACTAAGCATCATTGTAAATGATATAGACAACATTGTGTCTGTCTTCAGGAGCCTTCAATTTAAAGCAAGTAGGGCAGTGTCATTGTTCATGGACTTAACTTCAGACTGTATGAAGCAATAGTAAAGAATCTACTAAATGAGCCTCCCTATGACAGTGTAAATAATAGTATTTATTATGGCAAGTCATGAGGTCTTGCAACTTGAACTATTACTGGAAGCTAGAGTTTATCTATTACATAATGTGGACTTCTCTACAGTACATTTTGTAGATGAAAAGCATATATGAGTATGTTGAAAATATGTCTTTTTTCTTGTCTGTATTCAGTATAGACACAAATGTCTCCAAAGAAATTTAATTTTAAAGTTAGAATTATTAAAATTGAGAAGTGTAATGAATTTTTGCATGATTTTTTACTCTACCCCTTCTTTTATATTCATGAACCTTCCACCTGAGATTGGACAATAATATCAGGTGACTAAAAGTAATATAATTTCATTGTGTTACAAAATTAGAATTTTGGTCAAAGAATTGGTGGAGTGGTAAATAAATGAAGACTTATTTGTAGATTTCATTTGTGGCATGAATGTAAATTCTGATTATCATTAATTGAAACATGATTATATTATAACATTTATTATATTGCTTGCCATACTTTCATCTAAATATTAGATAAAAGTATAGCAAATTTCCAAACTTTTTTTTTTGCCAGTGCTGGATAAGTGTGAACCGACTACAGGATTCCTTCATAGTAGTTAACTAGTGATTACCTGGAATCATGATTGGCACACAAGAAAACCAAATTCTTTTTTGTTGATTAGATCCTAACTAATAGAAATCTTATAGGACAGAGTAGAATTGCCCCCAAACAGTTTTCAAGGTTGTAAATGTTTACAAAGCAGACTGCCACATCTTTCTCTTACTAAGCAGCTGTTGGAGTCAAGCTGAGCATTTTAACTACTGAGTCACTGTAGTTGTTGAGTACCTTTGAGTTTGTTTTGACCCACAGTGACCTTGTTAGGGGTTTCCAAGGAGCAGCTGGTGAGCTTGACCACCAGCCTTGTGGTTCAAAGAGACTTTGCAGTCCATCACATTAACTCAAAGTGCCACACCAGGTCCCAAAGCTAAAACTCAAACCCAAACCGAATTCACTGGTTCAGAATTGATTCTTCTTATAGCAACTCTATAGTACAGAATAAAACTGCTTTATAAGGTTTCTGAGGCTGTAAATCTTTATGGAAGCAGACAGCCACATCTTTCTCCCACAGAGTGACAGGTAGGTTCCAACTACTTACCTTGTGGTTGCCAGCCTAATGTTTAAAAAACTGGGCCACCTATGATCCTTCATTACACTCTACTGACTAGATAATTTTGGAGTAGAGCTAGAGTATAAAGTTCTGTTGTTTTTGTTATCATGTGTATCTTTACTTTTTAAAGAAATTTTTTTTATTAATGGAATAGTTGGCAGTTTATAACATTTTCTGTTAGGAGGCAAATAGTATCAATGCTATCCCCTCTGTGTACAGGTTGATAGGGATGGGCAATTTAAACATTGGCTACCTAAAATGAGGGGGTGATATGTATAGGTTTGAAGTGATTGGCTTACAAGGTTTCAAGAGGGAGTTTAGTTTAAGAGTGTGTGGCGGAAGATAGAATCGCCACTGAATAGTTTCATCTTGTCTAAATGGGTCTGGTAAAAAGAGATGGGGATAAGATTTTTATGATTTAATAGTGAGTAATTGTTATCATGACTAATTGCAACTGTCACAATTGTAAAGGTAGTTCTGTAACAAAAACAGGGGAGTAGTTAATCTTACAGTCCAGAAACATAGGACCCTAGCACAATTAAGGGAGAAGAGCACAAGAGGAATGTGGTTTCTTTTCCAGAGCAGCAGCAACACCAGAGGTGGAGGCAGAGATGGGGACTTGGAGAGAGGGAGCAGTTAAGGACTGTAGATTCATGGAAAGAGAGGGATTGAGAGCTGGTGGCCAGGAGGCAGATGTGCAGAATGTGCCCTTTGGTAGTTTAAATTATTATATATACCTGAGTGTTTAAAAAAAAAAGAGCTAAAATGAATAGAGAGATATACTGTTAAACTGATGGTACATGAAGAGGATTATAATCATTGTAATGAAACAAAGTATATGATTCGTTTAATGTAAAACTGATGATCTGCCCTGTAAACTTAAACTCAATTCACAATAAAAAACATTTTTTAAAAAAAGAGGCAAATAGTAAATATCTTTAAGTCTTGTAGGCTATAGGTCATTTTTTAGGCCCCAGTACTATGCCTGATGTTGTTATTAAGTGCCGTACCTTTGAGTTAGTTCCAAGTTACAGCAGCCCTGTATAGGATTTCTGAGGAGCAGATGGTAGGTTTGAACCTTGTGGTTAGCAGTTTCCTACTTATCCTACAGCCCTATACCAGGACTCCCAAGATTATACCTGTACTACTAGAAAGACTTCTATACTTCCCATACTTCTGTATCTGCTTAACTCCTACTAGAACTTCAGCATTTGTTCAGGTGACACCTCCTCTGTGAAACTCTTCATTTTTCTCTGCCCTCTTTCTCCCATTTGGGGCTCCTCCTGTGGACTTTCCATTATTATGCACTTATGTCACAGCCATGTCCACATTCTATGATAATTGTCTGTATGCATCCTACATTTTATTGTGAGATTCTTGAGGGCAGAGTAGTTAAGCACTCAGTCACTAACCAAAAGTCAGATGGCTTGAACCTACCAGATGCTTCATGGAAGAAAATTGTGGCAATTTGCTTCTGTAAAGATTTACAGCCTTGGAAACCTTATGGGACACTTTGACTTGACAACACATTTTGCTTGTTTGTTTGTTTTAGTTTTTTAAATAAGAGAGAACTGTCTTAAGGCTATACAAAAAATGGATTGGATTAAAAATATATAAAACCGTAAACTGTGGTACTTATCACTGTATTTTTAAAATGAAGTCAGTAAAAGAAAACTTTTCACCCCCTCTGAGTCCTGATGTGGCACTGTAGGATAAACACTGGACTATTAACTGCAAGGTTGATGGTTCAAACCCACCAGCTGTTCCTTGGAAAACCTATGTTGTTGTTGTCAGGTGCCATTGAGTCGGAACCAACTCATAGTGACCCCATGCACAACAGAACGAAACAATGTCCGATCCTGGGCCAACCTCACTACCGCCTCCACACTCGATGCCATCAGTGATGCCACCTGGCCGATCCATCTTGTTGGGGGTCTTCGTCTTTTTCTTGGACCTTCCATCTTACCCAGCATGACATCCTTTTCCAGCGACTGTTCCCTCCTGACAATATGTCCAAAGTATGAGAGATGAAGCTTAGCCAT